CCCGGAGACCCGGATGTGCGGGCCGGGGGCCTCGGCGCAGTGAGCTGCGGGCCTGGAGGCACGCCGGGTCCCAGAGCCCGCGAACTGGGGACATGGCGATGGGGGGACCGGGAGCCGGGGATGGGGGACAGGGAGGGACGGAGGGCTGAGATGGTAGATGCGGGGGGGCGGGTAGGGAGCTGAGGATGGGAGACATCAAGTGCAGAGGGCTGAGATGGGGAAGATGGACACAGGAAACTGAGATCAGAGACAGGAGGCAGAGAGGGGAAATGGAGGGCGGAGGGCCGAGCTGGGGAATGGAGGGGGCCATGGGTGGAGGGCAGGAGCTGAAGGTGGGGTGTGTGTGGGGGGGGGAACCTGGGGACAGATGACTTTGGACGGCAGCACCTGGGTGCTGTAGAATTGTGGAACCCAGTCCCGCCGGCTCCTCACCCATGCTGCTGCTTCCCCAGGACAAGGAGAAGAAGAAGAAGGAGAGCATCCTAGACTTGTCCAAGTACATTGACAAGACCATCAGGGTGAAGTTCCAGGGAGGAAGAGAAGGTGAGCTGCCTCTTCACCCCCTCCCTCCCACACCCGCCAGGGAAATGGCAAAGTTCGGGGCCAGCAGCTGTTTTAAGCCTGTGAAATTCTAATCAGGCCTAGGTAGGAACTGATGTGCCCCTGTGGCCGGTGGAGAAATGGAGGAACAGGAGAAAGGAAAAACAACCTAGAGTGGTTCAGCCCAATGGAGAGTCACAACTTTGTCTCCTGTGTGGCCCAGCCTCTGTAGTCTCTACCCCGGGGCCCACCCCACTTCTTCTGTGGACCCTGGGACCAGTTCTGAGTTGGGTGTATAGAATAGCATCCCTGGCCTCCACTCTCTGTACCAGTGGCTCTCCCAGTCATGAGAAGCACAGTGTCCCCAGATGCAGCCAGTGTCACCTGGAATAGTACCCTCCCCTCCTGGATGGGGAACCACAATTCCAGGGCCAGCCTCCACCTCTTTCTTTCTTTCTTTTTTGCCGGTCATGGGGCTTGAACTCTGGGCCTGGGTATTGTCCCTCGGCTCTTCAGCTCAAGGCTAGCGCTCTACTACTTGAGCCACACCACCACTTCCAGTTTTCTGGTGGTTTACTGGAGATAAGACTCTCATGGACTTTACTGCCGGGCTGGCTTTCAACCATGATCCTCAGATCTCAGCCTCCTGAGTAGCTAGGATTACTGCTGAGACACCAGCACCCAGCTCTACCTGTTTTTTGAATACAAGATACATGTTAAGAACAGGATACAGCCAGGTGCTGGTAGCTACATTGTATACCTATAATCTTAGCTACTCAGGAAGCTGAGATCCAAAGGATTGAGGTTCAAAGCCAGCCCAGGCAGAAAGTCCATGAAACTCCATCTCCAGTCCAACAAAATGCCAGGCTGGATGTGTAGCTCAAGTGGTAGAACACCAGCTGACCGCACATTAGACACTGCTGTGCCTCTGGGTGAGACTTTTGGGCTGCCCCTTTCCCCCAAGATGGAGTGGTCTTAGCAGATGAACTCCCAGAGTTCCTTTCTCGTGTCCTCAGCTGCTGTGAGGAGCCTCTTTGATCCTCCATCTTGAGTCAGGTCCTTTTGTTGCTGTTCATTTTTGTTTTATTGGTTGTGGGGCTTGAACTCAAGGCCCAGATGCTGTCCCTGAGCTTTCTTTCTCAAGGCTAGTGCTCTACTACTTTGAGCCACAGCTCTGCTTCCGGTTTTCTGGTGGTTCATGGACTTTCCTGCCCAGGCTGGCTTTGAGCCGGGATCCTCAGTCTCAGCCTCCTAAGTATCGAGGGATAGGTATGAGCCGCTGGTGCCCGGCTCAAATCCTCTTGTCATAAGCTCCCTAAAGCACCTATCCCCATTTGCACGCAGGGAACACAGGAAAGGTGGGAAGTGTATATGTCATGGGTGATCAAGGGGTGGCCCCCAGAAGGACATGGGAGGTTCCAGAGGAAGGAGAAGGCTGAGGCAGATTGGCAGGAAGATGGGTATGGGTGCCAGAGAAGGAACCCACACATGGAGCCATGTCAGTGGCTGCAGGAGCAAAATACAAAGATGCCCCCAGGCCAAGCAGCCATAACTGGGACATCGGAACTGGAAGGGGTGGTGTGTGCATCAGCACCCAGCTTATTCTGTTGAGATGAGATATTGTGAACTTTTTTTGCCTGAGCCTAGCCTGAAACCACAATCGTCTTGTTCTCAGCCTCCTGTATAGCTGGGATTATAGGCTTGAGCTACTGCACCTGGTCTAAAATTAACCTTTTTTTTTTTTGTTTTTTTGGTTGGTCGTGGGACTTGAACTCTGGGCCTGACTACTGTCTCTTTTTCCTGCCCAGGCTTGCTTTGAACCATGATCCCCAGATCTCAGCCTCCTGAGTAGTTAGGATTACAGGCATGAGCCACTGGCACCTGGCAAAATTAGCCATTTTTTCCCTTTCCTTTTTTTTTTTTTTGTCAGTCATGGGGCTTGAACTCTGGGCTTGGGCGCTGTCCTTCAGCTCTTCAGCTCAAGGCGAGCGCTCTACTGCTTGAGCTGCAGTGCCACTTCCAAATTAGCCATTTTTTTTAACTGTGCTATTCAGTGACACTAAAGAATGTTACAACGGCTTTATGTTGTACTACCATCTGTTCACAGAACTCCATCATCTTTCCATGGAGTTCTGCCCCTTTCACCTCAAACTCCCCTCTCTCCCAGAGTTCTAGCACTCGAGCCATGTCTTCTGTCTTTCAGGTAGGGCCTCACACTTTTGTGAAGGCCAGCCTTGAACTCTCATCCTCCTATCCTCCACCTCCCAAGTAACTGTGGCCACAGGCATGGGCCACCATACCCGGTTAGGACAGCAGAGCCTCCCATACCCTTCCCCCCACGGCAACGCCACTGCCTCTACCTGGACTCCTCTTGAGCCAAGAGTTGTTTCTGCACAAGTTTTTAAACATAGGCAAAAGACCCTTGGTGATGTAGAATGACAGGCAACTCATTTGAGCATCCAGAAATACAAGTTGTATTGTCACAAGTCCATCGTGCACTGATGAGTCCTTGCAGGCTCCTTGCGCGGCAGACCCCATGTGGCCCCCACAGCAGGAAACACTCGCGCACCCCCCCGCCCCCCGCCCCGGCCTCTGCCCATGACAGCTGACGGTGGAGAGGTGGCTGACAGGTGGCTGATGGCCCCTGTCTGGTTGGGGGAGGGGGGGCGTGCGGGGCGCTCCGCCCCTGGCTCTGGGCTCTCCTGTCCTGGCTCCACTGCTGCTGACCTCACGTCCCTCCCTCTCCCCTTCCACCCGGTGGCTTCTCCAAGCCAGTGGAATCCTGAAGGGCTTCGACCCGCTGCTCAACCTCGTGCTGGACGGCACCGTGGAGTACATGCGAGGTGAGGAAACTCGTGCAGCAGGTGCCCTGGGGACCTCGCCCCAGGCCCGCAGGGGACAGGCGGTGGCCGGGCCTGGGCAGGTGGGGACGGATGAGAAGTAGTGCGGCCTAGGTCCCACGGAGGGCAGCCGGCCATGAGAACACGCAGGTGTCCCCCGCCCCCCCCCCCATCGCCACAGTGACACCCCATTCCAGGAGGGGGGAGGGTGTCACCCCGGGGCCTGCCGTGCGGTTAATGGGGTTGCTCTCTGGGGGGCCACAGAGTACTACCTGGGACTCGTTCTGTCTCTGCCTGACTGGGGGAGTCCAGGCCTCAAAGTGGGGTCCCAGCCTGGGCACCCCGGGCCACTGCCCTTCCTGTCTCTGAAGGTGTTGGGACAATGCAGGGAGCCCTGGGGAGAGGCGGCCGCCACCCCTCCCCACCCCGCCAGCACCCGAGCACTGCCTGCCTGCAGGCTCCCACCCTCTGCCACGCAGGGGGCCTCGCTCCCCAGAGACCTGGTTGTGGCAAACCCTGCGCCCAGCACCCAGTGCAGCTCACCGGGCTCCGGAGTCAGCACCCTCCTCTCGCCACTTTGTCTCCCAGGGCCATGCAGGGCCCTGCGTCATTGCAGCCCCCTGCCTGCTGACAGAGTCCTCCGGGCTCAGGTGTCTGTCTGAGGCCTCTGGGCCTCCCCGTTCTGCTGAGGAGAATTTTCCAGAGCATCTGGAAACATCTCCCGAGAAGGCTGAGGACCTGGTTGGCAGCATCGGTGGGGTACCGGGCGGGAGGGGTGGGGGGGCACTGGCCGCCATTGGCCTGGCCCTGCGCCCTACTGCCTCTGCTTTGGGCAGGCCCTGACCAGCCCCTCCTCCTGCCCCCCCCCCCCCAGATCCCGACGACCAGTACAAGCTCACGGAGGACACGCGGCAGCTGGGCCTGGTGGTGTGCCGGGGCACGTCGGTGGTGCTCATCTGCCCGCAGGACGGCATGGAGGCCATCCCCAACCCCTTCATCCAGCAGCAGGAGGCCTAGCCGCGCAGCCCGCCAGCCGCGCAGCCCGCCAGCCGGCCGCTTCTTGTACAGTTGACTCTTTTTCCGTTGTTTGTTTTTTTGTTTTTTTTTTTTAATAAAATTGCAAACCTCAAGCTTCCAAGCCTTCCCCCCCCCCCCAACCTGGGTCCCGCCTGGGAACATGGCTTAGTTCCTGGCCTTTGCTAGGAAAGGCAGGTTCCAAGATGACCCAGAAGGGACCCAGCCCAGGCCAGTGACACTCCATGGGCCCAGCAGCTTGGACATGGGAGGACAGCAATCTGTAGGGCTCAAACCTCAAAGCAGCAGGGCCAGAAGGAAGCCTCCCCTGAGGCTGCTCGGCTGACCCGGGGCACTGGGCCCCGGAGGTGGGGGTGGGGGGGAACGGGCCCTGTGTGCTCCTCATCCCTCCTGGCCATCTGGCCTGGCACTGCCACCTTCTGTAAGGCCTAGTCCCAGAAGCCAGCTGGCATAGGGTCTGCTGGCTCAGCTAGGCCGCAGCCTCTGCTCTCCCCTGTGTTTCCCCAGATCATGTGATAAGCCAGGGTCCTGGAGTGGGTTGCCATGAAGAACAAAGAGGACCCGTTCTTTGCCCTAGCCGGATGCAGGGGCTAAGGCTGGGGTCACCCAAGGGGGAGCCGGGAGGCCAAGACAGAAGGAGGTCTGTCTGCTGGACCCTAGCTCCCCTGTGCAAGCCAAGCTCGCCTGGACAGCACTCAGCACACACGTACACGCGTGTGTGCACACACACTATTCTGTACCCCACTATCCCCTCTAAGCCCCTGCATTGGCTCCTGGCTTCAGATCACTTCCCACACTGGCTGTGCAGCTTAGGGGAAGTGTCCAGTGGTCTCTGAGCTCCAGTTCCTGCTCAGGTTGAAAGACTGCAGGTTCTTGGTGACCAGGTAGCAGGAGCATACACAGAGCTTTGTGTTCAAGGCCAAAGACAAGAACAAAAGGAATATAAGAAGACAGACTTCCCCAGGTCTCAGACAGCTACCCAGAAAAGGGCCTGAAATGAGTCAGTACTATTAAACCACACACCCTCAAGACTCAACTTCTGACCTAATTTGTTAGATGGAAATAATAATCACCCACCCTGGCCAGGGGATCTGTTTATGAGCGCGACCCTCCCCCCAGCCACTGCAAAGCTGCTCTTCTCTATTGTGCCACCCCTGGGATGAAACATTGTTACAATTTCCTTGCTGCACTGGGCACTGGTGGCTCACCACCTGTATTCCCAGCTACTCTGGAAGCTAAGATCTGAAGATCTGAGTTCAAAGCCAGCATGAGCAGCAAATTCTGTGAGACTTACCTCCAATGAACCACTCAAAAACCAGAAGTGGAATGGTAGCACTGCTGGACGCCAGTGGCTCACGCCTGCCATCCTAGCTACTCAGGAGGCTGAGATCAGGATTGTGGTTCAAAGCCAGCCTGGGCAGGAAAGCCCGTAAGATTCTTCTCTCCAGTGAACCGCCAGAAAACCGGAAGTGGCGCTATGGCCCAAGTGGTAGAGCGCTTGCCTTGAGCTAAAGAGCTGAGGGACAGCGCCCAGGACCAGTGTTCAAGCCCCATGAGCACCACCACCACCAACAACAACAATGTTCTGCTCATCACAGAAAGAAGGGGGGTAGAGTCCAAACCAGGCACCTGTGGCTCATCCCTGTAGTTTTAGCAACTCAGGAGGCTGAGTTCTAAGGATCACGATTCAAAGCCAGCTAGGACAGGAAAGCCCATAAGGTTTTTACCTCCAATTAAGCACCAGAAAAGTTGGAAATGGCGCTGTGGCTCAAGTGGTAGAGCACTAGCTTTGAGCAAAATAGCTAAGAGGCAGCGCCCAGGCCCTGAGTTCAAGCCCCAGGACTGGTACGCACATATCTACACACACACACACACACACAAAAGGTTGTACACTTCTAGGTCTGGAATGTAAATGGAAAGATCTGGAAGTCTCTGTGGACGCCTGTGACCAAGAAAATGATGTTTGAATATTTTTTCCTGTAATAGTACATAGAAAGTGGAGTATTTTTACCAAGGGTTGCAGACGAGAAAAGTAGAAAGGGAGATGCAGAGCTAGAGAAAGATGAGCAGCGGAAACAGGAGACGTAGACTGGGGATGGGGACAGAAATGAGGACACTTGGGCCGGCCTTGTGACACTGGATCCCCCAGGGCTCCCGCCCCGGGGGCCCTGCTGTACACTCCCCAGGCCCAGTATCCTTGCCTGCTACCGCCATGCCCAAGAGAGGAGCCCCGCTGACCCCGGCCCAGATCCCCCCCTTCCAGCTCCCCATCGCCCACACTCAGCGCAGGCCCCGGGGCTTGGTGCAGAGGCTGAGGCCCTCCCACCTGGGCCCCGGCCTGGTGCACGTGCCCTGGGTGACCACGGCCTACGGGTTCCAGGTACTGGCAGCGAAGCCTCGGGTCTTGTCAGAGGAAGCCCCGTTTTGGGAGACATTGCCAGGGGACCCTGCAGACAGGGAAGGACAGACAGGCCTCAGCTTGGCTTCAGACCAGCCGGACACCCCCAAGACGCCACTGCACGGCAGGTTCCAGAAGCTTCTGAAGATGGACAAGATCTTCACAGTGCTAACGGTCAGCTCTGTCCTTCTCCCACCCCCACGCTCCTGGCACACCCCAACCCCCAGCTGCTCTGTCCCTCTCCATTTGTTTGTTTAGTTAGTTGTCAGTCATGGGGCTTGAACTCAGGGACTTGAGCACTGTCCCTAAGCTTGCTTTATTCAAGGCTAGTGCTCTACCACTTCAGCCACAGCCCCACTTCCTACTTTTTTTTTTTTTTTTTTGGTGCTTAATTGGAGATAAAAGTCTCACGAAGTTACTGCCCCATGATGGCTTTGAACCATAACCCTCAGATCTCCACTTCCTGAGTAGTTAGGATTACAGGCGGGAGCTACCAGCATCTCTGTCTGGTCTTTTGGCAGGAGAAGGGGTACTGGGATTTGAACTCAGTCTTGCTGAACAGATGTTCTACCCATGAGCCACACTCCCCAGCACTTTTTGCTTTATTTATTTATTTGTTTATTTATTTATATAGGTTGTTGGGCTTGAACTCTGGGCCTGGGCTCTGCCTCAGCTCTTCAGCTCAAGGCTAGCTCTCTACCACTTGAGCCAAAGCGCCACTTCTGGTTTCTAGTAGAGATAAGAGTCTGGTGGAGATAAGAGTCTCACAGAGTTATCTGCCTGGGTTGGCTTTGAACCGTGAACCTCAGATCTCAGCCTCCTGAGTAGCTAGGATTACAGGCGTGAGCCACTGACACTGGCTTAGTTATTTTTTGAATAGGGCCTCACATTTATGCCTGAGCTGATCGGGACCATAACTCTCCTATTCATGGTCCCCTTGTAACTGGAATGATGGGCATGCCCCATCATCCCCAGCATTGTTGGGTTATTGAGATGATTCTCAAGAACTTTTGTCCAGGCTGGCCTTGAACTGAGATCCTCCCATCTCTCTACCTCCTGAATAGCTGGTATTAGACAGATGAGCAATTCTGCTTGTGTGTGTGTGTGTGTGTGCGCGCGCGTGCACACTCACACACACATGCATACGCACGTGCTTGAACTCAGGGCCTGGGCACTGTCACTTAGCTTTTTCACTCAAGGCTGGTGCTCTATCACTTGGGCCACTTAAGAATTTTTGGGCCAGGGGCTGGGAAGGTGGCTCAGTGGTAGAGTGCTAGCCTTGAGCTGAAGAGCTGAGGGACAGTGCCCAGGCCCAGAGTTCAGGCCCCACAACCGGACTCCCCCCCCAAAAAAAAAGAAAGAATTTTTGGGCCAGGTGCTGGTGGCTCACGCCTGTAATCTTAGCTACTCAAGAGGCTGAGATCTGAGGACCATGGTTCAAAGCCAGCCTGGGCAGGAAAGTCCATGAGTCTCTTATCTCCAATAAAACCACCAGAAAACCAGAAGTGGTGCTGTGGCTCCAGTGGTAGAGCAAGAAGAATTTTTGGTAGTTAATTGGAGATTAAAAGTGTTATGGAATATGAGCACTGGTGGCTCACACCTGTAATCCTAGCTACTCAGGAGACTGAGATCTAAGGATCACCGGGGCAAGGAAAGTCCATGAGACTCTTTTTTTTTTTTTTTGGTCGGTCGTGGGGCTTGAACTCTGGGCCTGGGCGCTGTCCCTCAGCTCTTCAGCTCAAGGCTAGCGCTCTACCACTTGAGCCACAGCGCCACTTCCGGTTTTCTGGTGGTTTATTGGAAATAAGAGTCTCACGGTCTCTCCTGCCTGGGCTGGCTTTGAACCAAGATCCTCAGATCTCAGCCTCCTGAGTAGCTAGGATTACAGATGTGAGCCACCACACTTGATTTGTTTGTGTTTGTTTGTTTGTTTTTTGAGACAGGGTCTCACTACATAGCCCAGGCTGCGTGGAAACTCGCATCTCCCAAGCGCTGGGATTGCAAGTGTGTGCTACCATGCCTTCCTGGCTCCTTATTCTCCCCATGATAGATGGGACAACTGAAGCCCAGAGAGGTTAACTAACTTGCACCGGGTCACACACCCTGGATTGTTACTAACCCAGGTGGAGGGATGTCCTGTCACCGTCTCCCCATTATGCTTTCTCTTTGCCCCAGAGTCAACAGAAAGATCCTCTACACACACCCCTAAAACTTGTGGGTACAGAAAGTGAGGCCCAAAATGGGTGAGGGAAAAAGAAGAGAGGAGAGAATGGAAGGGGGAAGGAAGCCCTGTATGGGGCTGGGAGTGGAGAAGGACAAGTCCTTGTCACGCTCTCTCTGCAGGTTCCTTCCTGCCTTGGACAGCCACAGGGGGGCCGCCATCCAGCCCCGGAGCACCCTGGGAAGGAGCAGGATGGAGTCATGTAAGCCACTCTCTGTGGATCTAGAAGCCTCCTGAGCACAGGATAGGAGTCCTGTCTATCACTCAATAAACATTTGCTGGTGAATGAGAGATCCTTCCACCTCTGTCTTCACTTCTCCACCTGCCTTCAGGCCCTGGGTGCGTGCCCTTGAAGCCCTGTAGCCCTCATAAGTCCCCACCTGTCCCCTGGGCCCCCACCTACCTCCGCTTTCCCCATTTGGCTTCTCCTTCCCCCCAGCACTGTCCT